GTATTGTATAAAAGCTTAAGCTTTTAACAAATTTAATAATACACATTTTATGGTTTGAATACATCATAAAAATATAATTACAAAATGATGTTGAGAAATGAACAATGATCACCATTCTTACCAATGTCATACAGGTCATCGTACGGCCGAGATATGATAATGTTATGAGCATCAGAGGGAACTCGAGCGATAAGTTTTATTTCTGAAAAATTTTTAGTACACATTAAGTAAAGGAACCTGTATACGAGTTTACATAATGATGATGAAGCTGATGATATTGATGATGATGATGATATGATTGTGATCATAATGATGTAAACTATGAAGAATGATGGTAATGAGAATCATGATGATAATGACGTTGATGTTAACGATGATGATAAAAACAATAGTCCAAATCATTCATATAATCCGCATCTTTGATTAGAACTATACTATAAGACTTGGTTTACAATTCTCCGACGAATTGTTTTTTCTCCCCGGCGGAGGGTTAGGCAGGGGTGTGGATGGTGTGATGGCTGTACACCAGGGGTGGCGCCAGTGTATCTTCTACATATTATAGTAGACTCTAAAATAAATTAAATAATGTAATCCTTTGAAACTCTTAAATTCCCCTAGACCACTTTCAAAAGATTTTGAGTGACGCCAGATCAGCAGCCTATTTTGCTCTCGTCGGGGGCGTCTCCCCCTCGTCGGCAAATCCTGACGTCAATATTCTGCTGCACACCACCTAAACCCAACACACCCCTCCCACCACATAGGGGCCTACACACAGTACAGCCTTTCTCACTGGCGCCACAAATGAAAAGAACTCGCGGGCCGTAAACTACAACGCACCTAACCATGAGGGAATATAAACCAACCTTTAGCATTTTAAATTATTGCACAGGTTATGAAACAATAATAAAGTTTAAATAATTATTTACGTGTGTCCAATGTATCCGTGTATGTTTCCTTAGGATATTGACATTGAGAATTATCCCCTCCACATACTCCACAATCATCTTCCATCATATTCGAATCAAACTCCTTATCACATCCAATTTTCTAAGAAAATAAGTGGGTTTGATAGATTTTCGATTACTTCTATTAACTATAATAAAAGTATGCTACATATTAACCTAATGTTGCTGCTGCTGCTGCTACTGTTGCTGCTACTACTAATACTGCCAAGTAGGCCTATAATTCCCAAAACTCATTACGTGCAATTTAATTTTTAATCCAATTCAATTAAAATCAATATTTAACACTGTCATCATATCCATGCATATGTAGAAAATAAGTATTATTTGTATTTTTGAACTGTCGAAACCAGTTATCATGATACACCGACATTTTGACGTAATACATTATCTGAATTTGAACCTAAATCTGCTAAAAGGGCCAAGTTATTATTATTGATTATGATTATAACATTCATTTTGATGATGATTACGGTGATGATAAGTACGATGATAATGATAATAAATATAAATAACAACAACAAAACGAGATAGGAATAATGTCAATTAGGTAAAAACCTAACAAGAAGAGTGCGTTTATTACATACCCGACAAAATCCCTGCACGCAAATTCCGTATGGATTCTCATACGAACAATGCGCTCCATCGCTAATAAAGAAGTCGAACGTTTTGACCTCGTTAGTATCACGGTTCTCACACGTCACCATACACTGACGATCATCTGAGGTTGAATCAATGACCATTTATATTAAGTTACACTGATTAGAATTATATATATATATATATATACATATACAGTCTCTTATACACATCTAGCAGTGCCCTAAGAGGAATATAAGATGTTATACTTTAATCAAACATAGCCCTTCAACAAAAAAGTTCCATTTTCAGTTGTATGACAAAAAAGTTGTCTTTAGCCGGATTCGAACCCCAGGAAAACGCGTTGATCCCATCGGGATTTGAACCCAAGATCTTCCTAATACCATTATTGCAAGTGGTATACACCCTTAGATTTCCCCATTAGAAACTCTCAAGTTAGGCCTATATTGCGTAAAGCCCCCTTTCTTTAAAATCGCTACACTGTCGCTAAAGTGTTTTCAGCGCAATCGTTGTACTGCGTAGCAGCAGTCTCTCCGACGCAATCGGAAGGCTCCCCATTGGACCGACCAATCAGCATCAAGCATCAGTTTTTCACTGAAATCCTTGCACTACGTAGCTAGCTATCCCCGATGCAATCGGGAACGCTCGGATTCAACTGACCAATCAGCGTCTCCAAAGGAGTCGGCGATAGCATGGAAACCAGGTAAAAGCTTCATTCATTAACGCGCAATGAATGAATATTAATAGAGAACATGACGGTAACTTTGATATATAGAAACACCTCCATTTTGGTGAATTATAAAGACGATCTTTTTTATTATCTCTACATCACTGTAAACAGGATGTTTTCATTACTAACAGCATGCTAACAAATATAATGACATTTAAAGAAGTGGGTTTCTTTTATTTACCTTCTTCAAGTTCGTGAGGTTTCCAGTCCCCTTTGGAAAATTCATTACCGAAAGATTCACAGTATAACGCCCTCATGTCTTCAGGTTTTCCATTACATTTCTGAAGAAAAGAACAGAGCAAAAACACACGTCAACAACGGAAATTTTAAAACTTATTATCCGCAGTAGTCTATTAATATCTATAAAAATATTAATATTGTGAACTCAAGACTCAAGGAAGATGACATTCGCAATAAACTGCTGGAAGGTTTCATATAATATCTTCTTCACTATTTCCTCAGTTAGACGTTGCTGCCCTGATTGTTTCCCAGAGAATTAACTACAGCGCACCCTCCAACTGGAGACTCTTGTAATTCTGAGAGCCCAGGTTCCATGAACATTTAATACTAAGTTATTAACAATGGACAATGAGATCTCCCTCGAATCTACTCTGTTCTATCGGGATCGCCCCCGAGGCTAAAGAACCGTCAACATGTGAGTAGCCCCCAAAATGCAAAAGAATTAGTATATTTATAATAATTGTACTGTAAAAACAAGTAGTGGAATCCAGTAGTGTAAGAATAATAGACAGTATTATTTCAATAATAGAGTGAATAAACTTGAATCGTACAGTATATATACCATGTACTTTGTATGAAACCTAAATATATTATAAAAACGATGAGATCTTTTGAATGCAGTATAACCATTTTATTGCATACATACCCGAACATTCAAATAATACAACCTACCTCCTTATTGCACACTTTGAATTCGTCCATCTCGCCTTCACAATATCTTCCGCCATTTTCTGGTCTAGAAATACAAATGACCCCAATAATACATGATGATTGACATAACAGTCTTCTTCGGAAAAATACAAGTGCAACGAAGAATGTGCAAAATCGAAGAATGATATAAACGAGACCTAAGCCTATACAAATTTACACAGAATTGATTAGCAAAATAGTTAAAATTATGAATGAACACTTACAATGGATCAAAGATAGAATTAAGGTAGGTCTACTTTGAAATACAGCATTAATAAAATGATTGCCACAGAGCGTCTGGTTATGTTCGGCACACCGCATGTAGGTACCGAAAATGGTAAAGGTAAAGGTAGGAGAATAACCCATAAATATTGCAGCGTCATTGTGAATTGTGTATGGGCGTGGTCAGTGACTACCTAGCAGCCGTAAAGAGGTACTTCATGGTAGCTACATGTTCATGTTATTCCACAACGACAGGGACTAAAATGAACCATAATATCGGGGTAACTCCCCACTCTTCCGAAAGATCCAATGGGGTCTTTAAAGTGCACACGAGCCAGATGCTGGACCTGTATTTGAAGTCGTTATCCGAGAAGACTTGATTCTACAAACCGAACCATGGGCGAGGAGCGACTGAAATCGGCACCCTTGCCTTACCAGTCCGGGCCACTCGACTCGTCAATGTCTCACAAAACGACGACCATTATTCGGAGGAAAATGATGATCGAGCGTGCAGTCGAAAACATAAGTGTGTGTGTGTGTGTGTTGTGGGATATGCGCGCATTCTTGGCATCGGCTACTGAATAAAAATTTCTAATTGATTTACCATCCCCAAAGTATATTATTACAGAAAGCTAATAACCTACTTAAATATACAAATAAGGAAATCTATTGGTCGTTATTTATATGATAAAATATGTTGAACATTTTTCGTTTGGATTATTGTTAGTACCATACCGATTGTGCCCTATCCAAAACTAAGTAGCCCTGTTTAATTTTTAGTCTACCCTTCGTTTTAGTTCACCTACAGTTATTATACATTAATAAGCAACATTCCGAGATTACAATTTGTAACACGTAAAATATAAGAAATCTTAACGGAAACCCGTTAAATACAGTAGTCATATAACATGTACTGTATTCTAGGCTTCTGACGCATCATTATAAATTCATGCTTCTCCCGCCCACTGTCTGCAACATATCGCCTGCCGGGCAATGCGTAGGCCTACTACACTAATCTATCAGAACGGTTCTCTGTGGAAATCTTATTTGAATAAGAAGCAGGTAATCTGTAAGAAGGTTGGAAATTACCTATTTCCCATTTGTATTTAATTTGGCAAATAATATCGCTTGCTCTGTGGGTATGCATTACAACTAAAATTAGTTTTCAGGGCTGTTTTTTTTTTATTCATATTTTATTATTTCAATTCGTAAAACCAATTAATTTCCATTTAGGTTGACAAATATCGGTAAAATTAAAATTGAGCAATATTGTGGTTCATAGCAGTAAATATTAAAGAGCGGTGTTTAGGTTTTCTAACGGTACATGAGGTTGATGATATTTGAAATTGATATAAAACTTATTTTTAGTTATAATAATATTGTTGTAAATAGTTACTTTAATCAAAATCGAAGGCCTAATAATAGGCGTAATAATAGCTTGATAACAATTAAGCCTCTGAGAGGCAAAAGCGCCTTGTCCATCTGACCAATAGAAAAGAAGTGTACAATATTTGGCCTAAAGTAACAGATGGACATGATTTTCCCAATGGCAATAAGTCAATCACTCATCGCATCCGTATGACGTCATTAAATTAAATGACCAATATCATTTGAAAAATATTTGTTCAGTGTTTTCCTGATTATCCTAGTATTGATGTTTAGAGTAATTTAATTAAGGTAATTGATGATGTTAAACACTGACAGCAGTTGACGAGCGGTATATTAAAGTAAGATTCAGTTCCGTCTGAATTTAGCTTACAGTTTTGTAAGTGTTTATTTGTATAGACAGACAAATCTAAATCAGTACAGCTTTAGAAAATAATAATAATCCTTGACTCAGGCCTAAATTATACAGTTCCCATATTGGCTTGCAATCATATTTCCAACGCGATACAATGGGGAACGCAACGCCACGACGCGCGCGCAACGGATCGCTTATTTTAGCAGAGTTGGATTCGTCGTACGACGGTCGTTCGTACGTACGATGCAATGATCACCCGGGTTATATGATTTACGGATGAATATCCATAAGTGCATGATGAAGAACCCAGTGGCACATTAAAATGACGACAAATGAGTCTTTATTCAGTATTTTAGGATATAAAATGTATGAATATCTACTAAAAAAAGTATGAATATCCATAAATAATAATAAATAAAGGTCATCAAATAAACATAGAATGGGATCACCAAGTCAAAAATAAACATCCTAAAACTGTCAAGAACCTCCTTCGAAATTTTAGCCTAGTAATACATGTAAATATTGCTACATAAGGTATAAAAGAAAAATACTGTCGTACCCGTCCCAACCTAACATATCTCTAAATGTATTATAAATCCAGTAGTATTTTCAAATTGATTGTATCAAGTAGATTTTCAAACTTTATATTATATATATTTCCATGTTTTAAATGACCTGTTAATTATGTCAGTCGTATATTTGAGTGTGCTCACGTTAACTTATGACTATTGGCTGGATGGTACTTGCACTGTACTTGCACTCTTTTATAATCAATGTTAGTAAAAATCTTTCATTGTAAGTAAGACGTCAATTTGTATCAAAATACTGTATTTTATGTATAACTAGCTCACTCATATCCGGAGAGAGTCATTAGAGAAATAAAGTAACTGCTACCGACATTTTATTTCAAGACATAGAACATGACGGGTTTGTCTGGTCATTTCTCACCTGGGGTTTGAGCATTCTCGAGTCCTGCCTGTAACACCGCCACCACACGGATACGAACAGTCACTCCACGATGTCCACTCCGTCCAACCTCCGTTTATCTGGTTCATAAAAGTGCATTGTCCTGCTTGACACCACTGTAGAGTTAATTATGATTAATTGGTTTATTGTAATCACATGTACAAAAGGAAACAACTCTTCTGTTGTTATGATAATATAAAGAAGTAGACCTATTTAGGTCAACAAATCTTGTACAAGTCATACAAACCAAAATCTCAAAAATCTAGGATCAGTTTTTAGCTAAAAATATATATATATTTGTTTACCAAAGAAGTAGCCACTTTTCGAGCTTTAATTATTGATAGATCTGATATCCTAACGGAAGCTGTTTAGCCGGTCATGTGGTCACGGTTCTTTCAACCCCAAAAAAACTGAGCGGGGAGAGCGACGGTCTCCTTGGCCCTAGAATTAGGCCTTGGTTAATAGTACATAAAACGAAGAAAAAATCAAATATCGCTCTGCTCATGCTCTTCTTCAACGCAGCATTTGTTAGCCCTTATAACGTTCATGCAATGATTGTCATATTACCCTTCGCCATTAACTGTCATCGCAACTTTTCACGTCAAAAAGACGGAGCGCCCGCTATCGTTCGTCTTGGCTTTTGATAATTTATGAGTGCGGATTAAAGATAAATGTGTTGAACTACTAAACCTTAACATTATAATTGAATACTTGAGTTATTAGCTTTCGATTGAAAACTTTTTTTTTTCGTAAATTAACAGACGCATTAATAAAAATCATTCATACATTCCTTGCCCAAGACCCTTTAAGTTGGCCGGCAGTAAATTTGTAGTAAAATTATGTAGGGCCTAAATCAAATGAAAACTTAATTGGTTTGATTCAATCTATCTCGAATTTTGATAACGTATCTGATTCCGTATGGACAACTCAATGTTTTAGTCGACAGTTTGAGGGGTTCTTTTTTTAGAATGTAATGTATCAAGTAGCATAATCTTTAATTCGGATAGACACATTTCAATATGTAGCTTTGATTTCAACTTACCGCTTCATCAGCGCATGCCGTACCATCTAGAGCCGGGGAGTTGGCGTGGTCATGCGCACAGAGTGTTGCGTTGTCTGGATCGGAGCACATAAGTGTAAAGCAGGGATCAATCTATGTACGCAAGACTCAAGTAATTTATACATCATATTATTAGGTCTTATACATGATTATGTTATTTATTAGTTTAGTGTTTTGACATTAAATATAAACATAAATTTGCTCATACTGTACGTATTTTTAGTATAATTAATGAGTACACCTACCCCATATGCAGGAATAGCCCAGGGACACGCCCCAAATCTCTCGTCGTGTATAAACCGACATTGATCTTCGAATGTAAACAATGAGCCGGGATTCGCAACCGGTTCAAAAAAATCCCCTCTAAATGGATTGTCTAGTAAACATGGAAACGTGCTGGAAAAGAATATGCAAAACAACTCATGTTATAATGATGCATGTGTATAATTATCCATTAAATTTCATACATCTCAACCAGCAACTACATGCAAAAACAGGACGAATACTTAGTTAAAAAGTCTTAATTACATTTCTAAGTCTCCTCGCATATCAGTGGACTCAAGGAGAACATGAGTTTAATAGTCATGAACAAAAATAAATCCTGACCTTTCGTGGAGGATTTGAACTGAAGAATCTGATAGTAGAGGGTGAGCACTAAATTCACAAAAAAGCTACAGTCTCATTATCGTCACCATTACCATCATCATCATCATTATCATAATCATCATCATTATCATAACCATCGTCATCATCATAATGTTTAGTAATAACAATGAAGTAAAATAGTATTATGTATTAACATGTTTGTACTAACCTCATTTTTTTTTCAAGGAAATCGTTAGTACAATTCGACCAAAAATGTAACTCATAGTTTGAAATTACTAATGGTGCCATGATACTGCCTGATTCAGCCGCTTCTGAGCAGTTATTTTTTGACGTGTCATGGCCTACGCCTAACCTGCAAGAAACAATTACTACTATAAAATAGCTTGAATAAAAAAGTCATGTTACAACTTTTCAAATGACAATCGATTGTGTTTGAAAGTTGCACTTTCTGGCGTTCCATACAAAAACAAGTTTTCATTAAGCAGGCAAAAAACGTAGGACTACGCGTAAAGGTACGCTCATACAAAAGATTGTCCGCAAACGCAAGCTAGCAACGCCATTCGCCTAGTAAGCTCGGTTCACACTAGAGCAATTTAGGCGTGTTCGCCAACACAAGTAAAGGGCTGTTCACAACGGTCACCACGATATCTTTCAGTGAAATCAATTAGGCGCGCAACCGCAAACACTGTGCCAAGGCTCTAAAGCCGAAAACTAGCAGCTTACACAAGGGGTAGAATGAGATAACAGGAATCGAACCAATAACAAGGTTTGCGTCAAGCCTCTTTTTGTTGCTATTGATGCCTGCTAGTGTGATCTTTACCATTTTGCTCCAGTTTAAACCAAGTCATACAAGGTGGATTGATGATGTAGGCCCCATTGAAGCCTTGATGACTCAACTACACATTTTGACAAGAATGGAATCACCATTCTAGGCTTATTGTAGGCTATTGAGTAGAAAAGAATTTAGATTGTTTTTATTATTATTATTATTATTTTATTTTATTTTATTTTATTTTATTTTATTTTATTTTATTTTATTTTATTTTATTTTATTTATTTATTTTTTAATTTCAATTTTTATTATTTTTATTTTTATTTATTTATTTATTTATTTATTTTTTGCTGCATCATGGGATTTGACCTACAACCTTAATATTATTTATTTACTGTAGGGACCTAGATTAAAAGGCTCTATTTGCAATGAAGCTGATATGAAGACATAATCAACAAGTAGTTACCGATTGTTCATTAACACGTGTTAAAATGCCAAGTTTTTGTCCTAAATTCGCAGAACAAATATCTTAAGTTGATGTCATTAGGGCTTTAGTAACACAGAAACTAGTGTAAGGTTAATTCGAAATAGAGTATCAAATAATTATGTTTGAATGATAAGACATACATAAATAATATGCGACGCACAATCATTGCTAAGCAGTCTATTAGTCTTTAATTCCTAAAATGCCAGGGTAAACGCCTACTAAGGATCAACTTGTATCAAGAAACATGTTTATTTGGCGAATGATTATTTTTATAAAATGATTGTATATTAACTATTAATTTATTTTGCTGAACTGTGTTCAATTACTACTTCCACATTTACTGAGTTACAAACAGAAAACATATAGTGTTTTTCCGTTATCAACTTTAAATAAGACACAGATCAAACAAATTATTTTTTAATGATTTATAGATGCTTAAACATTTTTTTATATGATCACCAGTCAAGTTAAGGGTCTATGTAAAAGAATATAAAACTGTACTTTATATTGTATACATTCGTAAGGCAAGTAATAATTATTACTCTTGATGTTTTCAAATTAAAGTTAATACCTTATTTATATTTGTCTCAGCTTAAATATGACTAATACAAACTAGGCATGTTTTAGCTGAACACAAACGGTATACTGTAGACCCTACGTTTATCTTTATGCCATTCAAGATTTCTGCAATTAAAGGAATCGTTAAAAAGAATGGAAACTAGGATTAATTTGCATTTGTATTGAACTCATCACATACTAAAATAGGTTCAGACCTACGCCCAGACACGCATCATTTTTAAGATCTGCGGAAAAACCATCGATGGCCCGGGGATAAAGAATTGGCCTAATTGTGAGTCTAAGTATAATTGGATGATTGTTGATAAAAACAACAAATTCAAAACAGTTCCATCCTATTCCCGTGTGCTTAGTATATTTTGGCAAAGAAATGCAAACACTAGTCTCATATTAAAAGGAGACGTCATACCACTTAATAATAATTCAATATAAAACTTACAGATGAGAGAGTTCGTGGGCTACAATGTATGCTGCCGGGAGACCTTGGTCACGAACAACTACACAATTCTGCTTCCTTTTGCACATTCCACTCACTAGTGCGATACCTGAATAAAATATAAGCAATGTGTGTGCCACCAATACGACCTGATTAATGTTAATGTAATAGTGCGATATCTAACTTACAATTGAATTCGAATATTTATTACGTTTTTTCTTTTATAGAAAGTAACCCAAGATTCAGGAGACCAACCAAGTCTTCAGTATGATTCTTATAGCGGCAATTTAGCCGACAGAAAACAATTCCCTTGTCATTTTCGAAGAGTGTCTTTAATGTAGGCTACATGGGCCAAGTCTCATGCATCCAAACGATGATGTGTTAACTTGCATTCAGAGGTGCAGCATACACAAAAAGTGAACATCGACAGAATTGAACCAGGAGCCAATTGGCGCACTTACGTGGCTACCACCAATTTAGCCGACTTAACTTAAGCTGCTGTATAAAAATCAGATTAAGGTATTTGTGTTATTACTTGTCAATTATTTAATAATGAATTTTATACACGAAGTTCAACGACTAACTTCTTACCAGCTTTGTCCATATCTCTTCTTGTAAGAAATACTAAGGCGTCGTAATGATCCGGATCAGAGTCGTCATCCACGTGTTGTGTGGAGAAATGTTCGCAGATATTTCGACGGCTAACATTTGGATCTTCGTCATCAATCAGTTTATCGGACTATTTTTCATTTAAACGATAAAAAGTAAATAAATAAAAAGCTATTAAGAGATGGAGGCTGTGATATAAAACCGTCAATCTTAATGTTAAGTTTTGAAGTGTATGTGGTTTGTGTCGTCAATATACGTCAGTCGTGTAAAGTAGATACGGAAAGAATTTCCAAAACAAACTTGCTTATTAATTTACATTTGATCAGCGACGACGCCAGGAAATATGAAAATTTAGGGGTTTCAAAGGCTTATCAATCAGTTTATTGGACTATTTTTCCAAATAAATAAATAAAAGACTATTAAGAGATGAAGGCTGTGATAAACTACCGTCCCCGCGGGATGGGGGGGGGGGGCTGTAGCCCTGCCTAGTGAGTGAAACATTTCTTTACAAAGGTAACTTGGGTAACTGACAAGATTTTATTAAATGTATATTAGACCTGACTTTGAATGTTGTAATTGGCATGGACCTAAACATATCAAGGCCTACAATACTATTTGGTAGACTTAAACGGTTAGATATTGTTCGAACAGCCTACTCAACACATCTTCATCTGTCTCATGAGGAAGGTTTCTTGATTTTCCGTTACTACCGGTATTGTCTGCTCACCTGTTTCTTATTGAGGAACATCATTCTAGAAACTACCACATGGACGTCCGCTTTCAGAGAGTCATGTTGAAACGCTTGATGGACCTGCACAGAAAATGAAACGCGTTTCAAAGAATTATCAAATGGAGGATATCATTTGAAGTTGGTTGGATGTTGTAAGAAATTAAAATAAAAGATGCACCAACATTTAAATCTTAACTGACCAAGTAGAGTCAATCACAATGACTATAAGCTCAACATGTTTCAATTTTTAATAAAGATAAAAGGATGGACATGGCCTCACCAGCAAGTATGATGTAGGCCTATGCGTGTGGAAATTATGTAAAATTAAGTAAAAACAAATTTTAGTCAAGTTAAAATAAGCAATAGGAAACTTACAATATCCATCATTGTTAAGTAATACTGCTCTGCGCCCTCTTCGCCATGCATATCAATTACTGTGTTGTCGCCTACTACATATGTTTCTATAGAGTATTGTTGGTTATACGAAATATCTCTCTTTTTTCTTTTATTTAAAAACGCCTCTACTGGGCCTACCATATCGTCTTGGAGATTAAAGCCTAAAAAAAATAAAACAAGCACAGCATTAATTTTATTAATTTTGTGTACGCAATAATCATAGCCACATTACAAAAGTAATCAAATATCGTCTGCGGAAATGAAGAATACATTCAATGCTTCAAAATACTGGCAGATGCTCTTTTAGCAACCATCATTAATTTACAAAATTCACATCAACATATTGTAAATTTTAAGAAAAAATGTCATTAGATTTAAAGCTATGGTCTGCCAGATCAATAAGTTCTTTCGAAATATTGGATCCACAGCAGGCAATATCGTATATAAAATATTGAGATTAGAGTTTGTCTGAAAGATGCGCTTCGGTCATGTAACTAGGTCTCTCTAATAACCATCGTGTTAAAGCACGTCAAGTGAATGTTGTATATAATAATAAGCATATCCCTAAAGATATACCGTCTGTGATGAGCTGACAACTTGAACAAATAAAATTCGATATTTGAAATGCTTATGGTACTTTATATATTTAGGTAAGTCACTAGATTTCAGTGGATCTCTCCCCCGAAGTGTCAATCAAACTTAACAACTGACCAATCAGAACGGACCAGGAATACGTAAGCGTTCTAAAAACACACGTGCTGTCACACAAACGCACGTATTTACGTACACCAAGGCTCAGTGCTTTATAGGACGTTAGCAACAAAATCCAAGGGGCGGGGTTTAGCGGAAAGATCCATTGAACATTGCAATTAGAAAACAATATTCAATAATTAAAAGACGCATTAGTAGTATTGTTCCTTAATTCTTTTAGACTTTTAAACTGGCTGGTAGTAAATTTATAGATTTCTGTAATAAAAAAAAATGTAGACATTTCGATAAATTGTGATGTGTGACGATTAAGTTATGATTTCAAAAACTTCCTATTTATAAGTGTTGTGCATTTCTCTAATGTTTAAGTACGTATTGTTATAAGAGTAAAGTTACTTTCAGAATTGGATGTTTATTTCGTTAAGAGTTATCGGTAACTTCGCGTTGCTTTCGTCAGACATACTCTCTTACACTATGTCAACTAACTTTCAAATAACTTATTTGATTTTTTTCAAAAATAAGTAAATCAATGTTTGAATTGAATGCTCGATTTCTATACTGTACATGATAATCTATAATTTTGCGAGGAAACTGGTCTACGCTGTACTTTTCATAAAGGCCAGTACTTGAGACGACCGGACATTATGACATTCGTATTAAATGCTTTAAGAACATCATTACCATTTATGTGAATAATACGGATTTTTTTTTATATGTAGAAATACGGTGGTCGTGTCAATTTAGGAAAAAAATGGGACTCCAGCTGCGGTTTAAAATCAAAATAAAATCACTTAACCCTGAACTCATATTTTAAGATATTAATTGATGTGAGAAACGATGTCAATTGATTGTCATATTCGGAAATGAGAGTCATAGTGTGTATTTGTGCCCCTCTCTTCGCTTAGGTAATACGGTGGTCTCATGTAATACACATAGATGGCTTACAACCTAAAATTGTATTTTACTTGGAGAAGAAAACATTATCCACATCGGATGCCCATGCAATACCTGAATTATGTAGCTCATGCAGTAAAACGTATCATGATGTAAAACTTAAACGCTAATATAATTGGAGTACAGTACCTTGTTCCAACCCCGATGAAGAAAATTAGGTTTTAGTTATCATTAGCACTATATTTATCATGTACCGTACCGTATATGCCTATCGTTAATCGAAATGTTTCTATCTTGCTTGTGTAAAATTATCACAAAACAAAATTGGTGGCGCCAAAATATGCCCAACGGCAGGGGACTGGCGATGTCCCACAACCTCTGAAGGGGGTAAACTCTGGTGTGTACTGTACTAGGCCTATTATTATAATAACTGTATAATTTCACTAAAGCTTAGTTCACGCTATTAAATTGTATGTGACAAATTTGTGTGATGTGTCCATACTATATATATATACTGTCTCTTATACACATCTAGATGTGTATAAGAGACAGGTATATTTTGGCAAAGAAATATTACTTTACACGTTGTAAAACACTGATTTTTTTCCAATAAATCAAAGAGATTGATTAAGGATATTCCTTAGGAAGGATCATTTTTAGTGTTGTTTCTTAAATTGGCTCTTGTGTGTGCTGACGTCACAATCGCAAAATCGCGCATAACAGACAAGGAGCGCTTGTGTAGAGAGGTTACGCTCTGCATCATAGCCAATCAATGATGGATGAGCTTAGGATGTTTGAACATGCAAAGAATAATACATGAGGGCTCAATTTTAATTATAACATAATTTCGTTGGTACAATAAGCTACTTTAATATTTATCAAAAAGAAAGATTCTTGTTTCTGGGGTGATAAATTAACCACATTATATTTCTAATGAGTAAACGCAATGAATACTTCTAAATGTTATGAATTACTTTCCTGTTTTTCAGTATACATTATGTTTAAGACAGATAGGCATAATATGCAATTCGTATAGGGCCTATCAATAATATGAGTATTTCTGAAGAATATTGTTATTAAATAACTAATTTTAAACTGTGATTAACTTTACCATGTATCACCATCGACATAACGAACATCATTAATGTTTACATTTTATGAATGCGTTGTTTCATAAAATTGTGTAGAGAATGGAGCGACATGTTACGACACAATCTTAACCATAACCATCATCTCAGTCGATTTACTTTAAAGTGATTTTAAAAATTCATTTCCTAATCATAAACACTTCAAACGTGCATGCCTCTGTTATGTCTTGCAACAGTAGCGAAACACGATGGGAAAATGCATAGGTTATGTAGTAACAGAATTGTTGTTAGAAGGAAGGAAACAAGGGGCCGACTGACGTGATTTCCAAAGGGAGGGTAAATTAAAATTCGAAATCTGTGTCTGAGGAAATAGGTCTCCAATTAGTATATGACGTAATATATTTTTGCAATCGAAATTTAGCCACACGTGACCGACTATAAGAGAAATTCAACAGTATTACGCGTTTACTTACAGGGGATCCGTAATCATTCCTTTATGTATTATTTTATAGAATATTGGGGTGGGGGGTTTAGGTTCTATGACAAATTTAAAATAAAGACCCTGAGTTTTTTTCCCCTGTACATGCCTACCCAAGAAATTATTATAGAGCTCCCCAGCGCCAACTTACGGCCTATGAAACTACGCGTAGTCGCGTTAGTTCTTACACGTGTCCATTGAACGTTAAGCTCCGTTTACACTAGCAGTAGTAGTAGTAATAGATTAATTTATACTTGTTGAAGCAAACGCAAGCAACGCTGCGCCTAGTTGGCGTTGCTTGCGTTGTGTCTAAATAATCTAGTGTGAACCAAACCTTAGATTGCACTGAATATGCACAATTGTCGAATAAGCAGACGGATCTACCCCTTTAAAGATGTTAAGTTACTTAATCCTATCAAATTAAACAATGCGGTCGCCTTCCTATTTGGAAGGTATACGTAATTTTCTAATAATATTATAAGCCTTTAACTAGGGTAACTATGCCCCAGCGACGTTTCATAGTAAAGTTGACATTTTTAAAGGGGCGCTCGCATTTTTGTTGCTGTAATTTTGAAATTAGACGACAACGCAACCGTATCAAATATTCTGGAGCCAACTTTTGTGCAAGAGAAATGTATTCTGTCCTGGTTCAGCATTTGTCTCGATAGACATGAATTCGGAAAAGATTAAAATCTAACCAGAAATGTGCTAGGCCTATCCCTTTAACTCTTGATTCAGACTAGCACGTTTTAAACGCTGACGCACAAGTTTTGACGCATTGACATTAGCTGCGCATCTAATCCACTGTTTATTTTCATCCTCTTACAAAAGTTTACGTCACATGGTTTTGACAATATGTATTAGTAGTGGTCAATTTTGACAAAGACCGTCGGATATGTTTTCTACAAGTAATATTATTGCTTTTACATTCAACATAATTATGAGACCTATTATAATCTATTTCATGAAACTATTAACTTAGAAAATACTTCATGCCTAAATACGCGTTAATGGTTCTACCAGAAGGAGTACCGTAGTCTACAAAAATGTTTTGCACACCCAAACTTTAACGTTATTAAAACGTCAAATTGTTAGTTGGGTGAATAATGTATGTTACATAGCCTATTAACAGTACTCACCTAAAGTGATACCATCCTTATTGGAATGAGCTGTCGATTTTATATCTGCTTTCTTATAGAACACATGGTACTGCTCCTCTTCGTGACCATCGACATCTAAAGGCTCAATGAGATGATGTTGATCATCCATATAAATCCATCCCATCTGATGGGGGAAAATGAATCAAAGGATAAAAATAAAGTATTTAACTCTTCCTTTTGCCAAATGAAAAAAAGACTGAAGCCCAAAATATTTAGAACAAAACCTTTGTTTCAATATATTGTTGTTTTCATTTGGCAGAAGAAAACGTATTGAAGAAGATTGTAATTAATATTTATCAAATTATACGACTTACTGCAGCCGATAATTAGTATAGGTATATACACAAACAGACACCCCAAGATTCCTCACCACACAGTGCACTACTTGTCCAAACCCTTCCACCACTCTGTAGAAACAATGAGTTTGAAGGATTGTTGCTTGAATACAATATTGGCTCTTCTTTAATTGGCGAGTGAATCTCTGCAGACAAGAAATTTGTTCTGAAGACCAAAATAACTGTATACCATGCACACCGGCGAAATCTAACAAAATAAACTTACCATGCCATTACATGTGCTTATAGAAACCCTGGACCTATCGTCTCCAGGAATATGTCCGTTGAAGTGGCATCTTCGTTTTGCAAGCCTAGAAAATGATGTTCCATCATCTCTGAAGAATTTAACTTTCATACCGGGTACCACCAAGCGATCGTTACCGGTAACATTTAAAACTATCTCATTTTCATGCCTTGTAGAATTTAGATTGAAATGAAACTGAAGAGGTTCAATGTCCCGTGGTTTGCGCTTCCGTAACTTACGAGTTATTCTTTCAAATTCATTTTTTCCTCGCTTGTATTCAGCGTCTAATAATTTTGAGATATACTTTCCTTCCGATGTTGATCGGTACGGTTTGATTAATAGATAGTCTCGAAGTTGCGAGTCAAGGACCTCTGTGGGAAAAATCAAGTTGCATTTAATAATTATTTAATTATTATTTATAATATATGCAAGAATGGCCATCTAATAAATTGTACAGTGGGATAAGGAATAAACCTTGGACCTACAGGTTTACACCCACAGAAAAAAAAATAATAATAACATACTTTATATGCACTTTATTTTTAATGCGAGGTGTTGACACCCATAAAAAGTAGACGTGATTTAGCGTACAATGAGTGGTCAAATGACTTTGAAATTGAAGAGAAATTTGAGAATGTGTGACAATACATCTTTGACATTAAAACTCCAAGTTGGTACGGTGAACTACCAATAAATCGTAACAGACTCCTATAATAGATCTTATTTCAATATAATTCATTAATATGAGTAAAGCTAAGCCAGTGGCGTATCTATACGTCTTGAAATGGGGGGGGGGCTGATGGGGAGGCGCGAAGTGAAGTGGGGGCTCGGTGATCAGTTGAGAAGCGCTAATTCGCAAAATAATGTGATTTTAGGTGATTTAGGTGAACTACTTGACCGTAATTTTTTGGGGGACGACTGGGGGGCGTGTGCCCCCGCGATCCCCACCCCCTGTAGATACGCCACTGCCTAAGGCCAAGGTAGTTTTCAACATTTAATTCTCCAACTGATATTTTCTGATATACTTCAGTAGACTAAGATATTGAAGTACTTTTTATGACTAAAAGCTGATCAACTATGTTTGAAAATAAGGGTCGTCACGCAGGAAATGTAATGTGAAATGTCACGTAACAACCTGATATAAAGCGTGTAAAATAATTTTATGACTTTCCATTTTAAAAAGCTAAAGCAAACATTCCAGTTTTTGTTTCTTTGTTTCTGTATATTGTCTCTATATTTTGTAACTTTTCAAACGATTCAGGATTCATTCAAATGCACTCATCGTATTAATGTTCACTCAATCATGAGGACATAGTCCCATGGCACCAAACGTGCTTTGGTCGCTCATTGTTATTAAAAAAAAAACAAAAAAACTCGAGAGTTCGAGAGTAATGACCTTAGTCCTGGATGTAGTTTTGAGTTTTACAGACACTGATTTGGATGAGTATCAACACATAACTATAAAAACAAAACTACTACACAATAATAAAACTAGATTTTCCAACTGTTGGAATCCTTCAAAATGTTCACTGTTATCTGAACTTGGCAATGCGCAAGAGTGGTCATGGTGGCTAGAGATTACACTCCGCAAATGTTGCGCATATGTACCTCTGTGGATTTTAAAGTCCATACTCCAAGGGACACTTAAAGTTGTGTTTATGACAAATGAATAATTCTATAACGTTTAAGTTTAAATTTATTTTATTTGTCTTAGATTGCTACTAAATAAACCGGATGTGATGGAGAGGATAATATTTAAAAAAAAAAAAGAAATACAATGAACATGAGCAAGAAGGACAGTCAATATAGGCCTAGAAAAAAAACTTGCCTGAAACGTAAAATGGAGGTTTGCTCTTATTGTGTCTTGAGGCTTTTAACACCTAACATTTCTGTAACCTTTTTTTAAATATGTATTTACAGTACTGTATTTGTGTATGTTTTGTTTCGTGTAAATAATGGATGAAACAAAGAAAAATCATATCATGGTCTATTTTATTTTCTTTATTCGATATAACAACATAAACATAAAAATAAATTTTAAAACAACAATACAAAAAAATCAAATAATTATAGATAAATTGAATTGACCTAATTGTCGAAGTATTATGACTAAACATTAAACAATGAAGTTTCTTTATACGTGTCACTATTTTAGTGTGCCCGCAAGAATTCTTCAATGATGTAAGTAAAACATTCTTATCTGTACAATCCATATCGTTGATGTAGCGCAGAGCGCAGCCCCGTTTACAGGGCTGATGATAATTTAAGTTTTTAAAACTCGACTATGACCTGAATTTGGACCAAAATGAAAAATATATAATAGTCATGAGTTACAGATAATCTCACAAGGGTTATTTGGACAGGTTATTTAGGTTATTATTTTGCAGCAATACTCTTTGCCTCTTTGCAAGAAGTATTTTGAACAGACCCAGTCTTTATTATTTTTCAAAGTTTCACTTTCGATCCTCAATTTATATAGGACAACGATATGTCTATTTTCATTATAAATACCATGCATTGTTTTTTCATCTTGTGTATGTTATTTTATACCACTTAATAATTAAGCAAGCTTCCTAACCACTGAATATAGTAATCATTTGCACATTCGCACTCTCGCTACCTCGCTAAATACGGTAGCTATTTTAGTTTTAAATTACATACAATCTGATTACTTATAATATATTATAATATAACAGTGCAAATGATTATTCGGTTACAGTTCATTCATGATTTATGTTAAGCTACAAATTCCATCATATATAATATACGGAAACGATTTGCAAGTCACCGATCATTAAAATGATCACATTAAAATGATTTGAGAGAATCACACTAAATTCCTCATAAATAGTCTATCCATTTTCTAGCATTCAATAAAATTGTTTTAAATAATTTCGTTCATCTGATCCTAACTCGCCAATTCATAATTCGTAATTCTGTCAAATCATTTTCAATGACTTCGTGGCAGTTTATGCTTTCCACGACAATGTGACGATTGCAGCTCTGATCTTTACTTAGTAAAAACTATTAGGATACAAGGACACGGGGGAGAAAGCAGACGACAAAAATTCCATTTTTTCTTTCCCTATGGGTGTGCTCTTCAGAGATGATATCCGCTGTCAACGCAATGTCCTGACGATACTTGGACGAGGCTTGTCCAGTAGAAATTTTAAACAAGATCAAAGCACGTGTTTATTGGTATCTCCGCATATTCAACTCGATATTGCCATAAAGGATGAGCACTTAATTTCCTGAGGTTAACTCCGTGATGGTAATGTCATTTAACTCAGCTCTGATAATTATAGACAAACATATTTACTTGTGGATGCAGCAGTGATAATTGTTTCTGCTTCCCAGTGACCAGGGCTATTAAAAAGTGGTTTAATATTTGGAAAACGCTAGGCTATGTAATACGCTATGACATAACTAATAATACTGATAATCATTACAAATTATTAAGAATATTACAATTATAGTCCTCATCATCAGTATTACGATAATTATTATTTAAGATAATGATAATAATGGTTATTCTAATGATAATTTGTGAGTGTTTTTGTTTTTGTCATTTCTGTGATTTTTTTTTGTTGCACAGTGTGAGGTAGGCATGACCTTACAGATGGAAGTGTTTCTTAATACATTTATTAATTATCTGTTAAAATGTGTTTACGATGCTTGGAAGCAAACCAAATTTAAATTATATTGGCCTATATATAAATATAAGACACATAATTTACAAGATGTATTTGCCTAAAAATAATTAATATACTGTATATACAGAGAGAAAAAGGTGGTCTATGCTTATTTATTTTTTTTTTTGTATTGAATAATAGGGCATAGTAGTGTTAATTGAAATTTGTTTGAATAATTCAAACGTTCTAGTTTTTATTAAAGAATAATTAATTGAACTACTTTATGTTAATAGGGAAATTTTGCAACCCTACGAAAAGGATAACGAATAAGAATACGTCATTATTATTATCGTCATTGCCTAAAAAAATATCATAACAATGCTGTACGAGCTGAGTATGATCCTTGATTCAGGCAAAAGGTATGAAGCGCCGACGTTGTCACAGATATGCTACTGTAGGGGAAGGGTGTCTGAACATTTGATGACGTAACCGTATTTGTTATCGTTTTTTTAAGCTAGCGAAAACCAGGGACGTAGCCAGGATTTTGAAAGGGGGAGGCCGTTGTGCGAGGCACGTAGGACCTCGGCGGGGTCTGGGGGGGACCCCTGTGAAGTAGCGCACTCTGAACGTTTTATGGACTGTTTTGAGAGATGAAAATTGCATTAGACGCATCATAAATAATATTAGTATGCCCAACAATAATTATAATAAATCAACAGTAGGGTATCCAGGAATTTGAAAAAGAGGTGACTCAGGGAGGGAGACTTTCACGGACTGATGAACCACCCACCTCAGCCCCACCATGGTTGGGGCTGAGGTAAGAAAATTTATGATTAGGGCACCCTCTAGATGGCCGGAAATTACACTCTTAGACTTAAATTTGAATATATTCTTAACTAATTCTTAACCAAAATAGTCATAATCACGAAAAAGAGGCATGAAAAACCAGATCACATCCTAAAAACAAATGTATGCCCGCTCTCCTCAGCAGTAAAAAGACATACTCTGAGTCAGGTGCCGACTCGATGCAGTTTAAAGTCATACCCAGGTGAAAGCAGATCTGTTTTTAAAGGTAGAGGGGAGGACATTTTGTGAGTCGACACCCACCTCAGACTCACCATGGTTGGAGTTGAGGTGCGAAAATGTGAGGAAATAGTATGGTACGTGGCCAGAAACGACAACAAATTTCTCATGTACTTTTATCAGGCATCTACATAATATCCAGGACAACTTGGCCTAACTATAATTTAATAAGCTTTAAATATACTGTAATATTATGATCAACAAATCACAACTTTATTTTTAGTTTAGTAGCCTTTAGCACAATTTTCTTCACATTTTAATATTATTAATATTATTATCAACTATCACTATCATCATCATCATCCTCATCATCATCATCATTATCATCATCGCCGTTATTATTATTATTATTATTATTATTATTATTATTATTATTATTATTATTATTACTACTACTACTACTACTATAGTATTATCCGGGAACAGTTAACTGTTCTCTGGTATTATTAAACAAACATTAAAGAAGCTTGCAAAAGGAAAAAAGAAACCAAACTGAACCATACAGTATCACATTTCTGTATATTAAATAACCTGGCCTGGAATTTATAGATTTTTCTTAAAATCACGCTTTAGGCATGTGTTATAATTATAGCAGGCCTCGTCCTATATGTATAACGTGTACTGATGCATATTTACGTATTTTATAAGTATTCATTTTGAATGATCCCAGGAAAAATTTGTATTGGCTCAAAAACAAGCACATTTTAACACAGTGTACAAATTGAGGGTGGGGGGGAGCCGCTGCTCCCATGGCTAATCAACCCCCCCCCCCCGCGCCCCGACTACGTCACTGGCGAAAACTACCTTTCAAAACGGTCAATTGCCTCATGTGAACATAACGTATTGGGCATTTTGCCATGTGCGTACATACATTCGAAATTCAATTTCTTAAGCCTAAAATCACAGAGCAATCATCAAAAGAACGGCAACCACTCGCAGCAGAGGGAGTAATAACACGTTAATGAATAGTCCCTGTAGAATAAACTTTCTATTATTTTTTACAACGTAAGGAAGTTAGAGAAATATGTATAATGGTTCCGAATATAATCCATCAACAGTTAGTGAGACGTCATAGAATTGGAAAATGGATCCCACTAGCCGGGCGTTACTATTCTGTGAGCGCAACAGATACTGGGAAACAGTTGTTTAATATCCTGAAGTACTATTCACATGAAAACAGGCAGCTTCAAACACTTACGTTACAGAAAAACAACTTGATCAACCTGTTAAAAAATGTGTTGGTTCAATACAGACAGACAGGCAGTATTGTATATCAGTAATTAAGATCTGCCTGCTGTCAAGAATAGATCTACATGTGATTATCCCCATATATG